GCAGGCAGCTGGTGTAGCAGCTGGTGGTCATGGCCAGCACCGACAGCACCGTGCTCGCTGCGAGTTCTGGGGTTGGTAGAGGTGATGTGGCGCGGTGGCAACACAGAGAGCAGCTGCGGAGGACCAGGCAAGTAGTGCAGCTTGTACAGGCAGGCAAGCCAGGCAACAGTGCGGCGGATGGCCAGGATGGGTAGGTGTGCCCCAGGGCTGATAGCATAAAGTGCGCGGCGCTGAACATTGTACCCACCACATACACCAACACCTATTGCTGATCAACACCCTACCTAGACTCTCTCCCACATTTATCAACCCGACACTTCCATTACGCCACTCCACCTTCTACGCACACCAACACCTTCTACAAACCTACACTTTTACCCGAAGGGTGTACCCCCTTCCCACCTGTATCGACCCGCACCTAACCTTCACCATTAACTTAGATACATGTATTTCCCACCTTCACGTTCTCACCTCATCTCACCACAATCACTCCCTATTAACCCGTGCCACCACCCAAAGCCCTCCATTCTTTATCCACTAACGAAACGTCTGGAGAAGTATTGTAAATATTTCTATCGTTATTAAATTTTATCAAATATACCACTCTTTGGTCTAGAAAGAATACTTGTTTGATATTACAATGAGAGTGGATAATCAACGGCTTGTCCACCAACTCTAAATCCTTTAGCTTCAGCTCGGCGAGCAAAGGTCTCTCTCTCCTCCGCCATGAGCTGAAACACACAAACTGAATACAAAACGATGCACTCCACACGAGCTGGCTTGCACGCGTGCCCCCTTTCACGAACCCAGACAATCTTTTCGGGGTTGGTCTATTCTTCCCCTGCTGCTGCTGTAATTCGTGAAACTCTCGCTAGACATTGGCGGACTATGCTCGGCCAATTGTCAAATTATGCTTTTGATTATGCCACAATTTTGCCAACAAATATGCTGAATTATGCTGAATTATGCTCGGTTCTGTTGTGTTGTCAAGAAGAACCCATGGCGAGAGCGATCAACCTGGTGGCCGTTGAGGAGACGTTCAGTGGCAATAAACCATTGTTCTGCATCGTCCTCGTCGTCCAAACTCCGCAATTTGGGAAAAGTTGCATTGCTGGTTGACACGGGGGCGGTTGGTGCAGACACCTGTGCTAGTTGTTGCAACAACGCCTTCGAGAGCTGGGCCTGCTGCTGTTGTTGCTGGAGCTGTTGCTGCGAGAGTAGAGCTATGAGCTTCGCGAGCTGCTCATCAGACGACGACGTAGCTCCGGCGCTTGCGGAGGTTGTATCCATCCCGGCGGGGGCGAGCTCATGACTGGAACGCGCGAGGATTTTCCCTTCTTGCGGCTCTTTCCCGGCATAAAAAGGCTGCGTCCAAGCACCAATGGGGAAGTACAAACCGAAAGAAAGCAAACCCGCCGCTGCCACCATGCTGTGTTGTCAAGAAGAACCCTTTATTTCTCATCAAAATTCGTGTATAAAGAAGCACATAAAAGGTGTATTCGTGCGTGCATAGTGAGGGCACGTGCGTACGGGATACGTGCACAGTGCAGACTACTGTACTACTACAACAGGCTCCACTATGTATTCTCGCTGTACACAGAGGATTGAGAAACCAAGCATACACACACGCGGCCCCAGGGCTTTCTGACAAAGCTGTAGTATGCCCTAAGCCTGATTTTTGTCTAAACCGAAAGATTATGCCAACCTCACACGTTGGAATCCATCATTATGTCGGAGCATAGTTTTTTGACAAAGCTGTATTATGCCCTAAGCATAATTTTTGTCTAAACCGAAAGATTATGCCGACCTTACACGTTCGAATCCGTATAGAAAATCCTTAAAATTCTCCTCCGTCAACCCCGCATGCTCTCATCATCCGCCCTTTATAAAATCGCTCACACAACCCCGTTATCACATGGACGCAGTGCACACCCGGCTTCTCTAGTCCATTCTATTAAGTTTGAGCTGTGCCCACCTCATCTCATGTGTTTCAATTGGTTCTCTTCTCTAAGAACTAGAAACTCGCTCTTACATCCTAAGTGTAACTCCTCCACTCTTTTGCGCTCCCCTCTCTTTATTGCTTATTCTGTTTGGCTCACTCTACCCAGAGAAGTTAAGGATCTGGCCTCACTCCGCCTGTTTAAGATCCGTGCCGCCCCTTATTTACTACGACATACAAATATTACACAGCAATGAATCAAACAAGTCTCATTCCGCTGTAACTCCGAGTTTCGTGTCAGAACACTTCATCAGACAGCATATGACCAAGACTAACAATCACTAGAATATATATACGGAGAAGGGGAGAAGGGGGCAAAAGGTGATGGAGGTACATTTCAGTAGCGCGAGGAAAAGGGATGACAAAATCAGCGTGATTATAAGAGGAAAAAGATGTTGAGAGTATAGAGCATAGCCAGGGTAGAGAAACAGCGCGACTTTCTGGGAACACATCAGTACGGATTTGTGCTGCATTGTTACATATCAAATTGTGACCTAGGGTGGTAAAAATGTTGATGGGGATTGTGTTGTGGGAATCACTCACGCCAGGCAAGGGGGTGACTACCACACCCGCCAAGGCATCGGAAAACCGGCGACAGAAGCCAAGATCCGCCGAAGCGCGTGAGCCATGAGCCCTGGTGAGTGCTCACCATTCCCGCGCCCCGCGGAACCCAGCCCCGACCGCCACCTCCCCGGCCCCGACGGGCAAAACAGCCACCCCAACTACATAAATAGCTCATTATCCACATGTCCTTTGCGTCTCTGTGTTTTCACTGTTTTTATTTTACATTATCTTTCTTTACGGAGTTGTTGTTGCTGTTCATTTTGCTACTCTTTCTTTTCCCCTCCCCTTACTTTTATATATATATTGTAATAAATATAATATATATATTATGCCGGAGCATAAGTTTTTGACGAAATCCCAAGATTATGCCAAATATTATGCCGGCATAATCCGCCAAGGGTTAGCCCTCGCTGCATATGTGCACACACCATAAATTGCTGCAGCGTGTAGTTTTGATTGCAGCTGTATTTATTCATCTTCAGGACTGGCATCAATGTACCAGAGGTGTTGTAGAATATTCAGGACTATCATGCAATATGCACTCAGTGCATGATTTCTACATATACATAATATGTTGTGATTTAGTCTGATAGCATGCAATGCATTGAGTGAAGACTATTCATACCTTGAGAATTGATCTCAAAAAGAAGGAATACACAACAAAAAATATCCCAGGGAATATCGAGAAGCGAAGCGTGCTATAGCAGTGACCTTTCAATCTTTCAAATACTTCTGAGACAGCTGTGCCTGGAAGTCCATTTGTCCCTGAACCAAGGCTTGTGTGTGAGCGTGATGCTGCTGCATCATGGTCTGGTGCTGGTTGATGATAGTCGATAGGAATGTTTGGTGGTTCTGCTGTGGCTCCTTCTGGGAGTCAGTGATGGCAGTGACAATCGCCTCTGCTGCTGTTGCCTGCGTGCGTAGCAGCACCTCCCTTCTTCTCGACCTTCTTTTTCTTCTTCTTGAGCTGTTGCTGCTGGTGCTGATGTGGCTTCTGCTGGGGCTGCTGCTGGGGCTGCTGCTGTGGCTGTTGTACGTGCTGTCTGTTCTCAGCCTGCAAGACATCTACTATGTCACCATCATCATCGTCATCGCTGTCGTCTTCTTCGTCCGTAGTGTATGTTGCTGGTCGTTTTGTTGGCGTTGGTCTTGTCTTGCATGTCGTCTACAGCATTCAAGCATTCTAGAGTCATCATCACTACCCACTGTCAGTGCTGGCCGGGTACCTGCCCTCACCGTTGTAGGGGTGGAAGCTAGTGGTGACACTGACATTGATGGACTGCTGCTGCTGCTGGCACGCGGCACTGATGCAACGTTTGAGTTTGCCTGGGACTGCGCTGACGGTGTACTGACTGTCAGGCTAGCAATGTCGCCAGAGCTTACCACTACTGTTGGGAAGTCAATACTCTGCAGAGACCCGTAGCCAGGAACACGCTTGAACGTACTGTGCCACGACTTGAAATTAGTCCATGTGACAAAAACACTCTGCATGTCGTAGGCAGAATCTTGGCCAGGGTTGCCAAAAGGAGAACCGGTTTCCGTGTTCTTCCTATATCTCTTGTAGAGATCTCGGGCCTTTGTTTTCAAGTTTTCCACCTTGCTGTGGACACTCGCCGCCGTGAATACGACATCCTTGATACCAAGGTGCTGGACGTAATCATTCAGTTTGGAAGCGATCTGACGCTGTGCGACAGATCGCTTCATCATCGTGCCACTTTTTGTTCTCTGGTGCTCTCCCCACAGCTCAATGAAACGACACTCCAGATCATCCGTGAACAAAACCTTCGGCATATTGAACTAATTTACTTGAAATACTGGTACGCTGGAAGAAAAATACAGTTTGCTGCAAGCTGTCGACTTCTGCTTGAAAGAAAAAGTTGCCTTGTACAGGGGTACCGGAGTTGCGGAAACCTTTTAGGTAACTTTTATACTTTCGCGCCAAATTACCCAGGTTGCCAAGGAGAATTGCCTGAAAAATGGTCTATAACGCACTTTTTCAAGTAGTGTGAATGGGGCCTAATATATTGTCTACAGGTCTTAGCCTTGCAAATCGAGGGAGTCTCCAAGGGAGGGAGAAGTCTATTCTACACAGTCATATTTGATTGGATTAGTCCATCATGGTACTATTATGTCGGCTTCAATTGTTTTAATCATTGGTTTGTAGATTCACAAATACAGTCAACTTCGCTTATAACGACACTCGGCGGGGCATCAGAAAAGTGTCCTTATTAACGAAGTGTCGTTATACCCGAAGTATCATTGTATGTACTACAGTTGGATGGGACTTTGCTCTGGGCATGGAAATTCTGTCGTTATTCCCGAATTGTCGTTATATCCGCAGTCGTTATTAGCGAAGTTAACTGTAGTCCATTTCTGCCGGTATTCTCTGAAAAGTTCTCTGCAGAATTGTTTCCCCTGTTCGATATGTTTTGTGCAGCAAATACTTGTGAAGCACCCGCTAACAACGAGGCTTGGAATGTGTCACGACCAGGAGTAAATGTTACCTTTCAACAAACTGTTCATATATATTGCAACACCGGGTACTATGTAACTGGTCGAAACCAAAGGGTCATGAAAGGAACCTTTCAGTGCGGAAATAATGGCGTGTGGGATCCGGAAATGCCTAAATGCAAACGTAAGATTTGTTAAGGTAAAAAGGAGAAGGACAAAATGTTACGAATGATGACTAGCTGTCCACCAAAGTAACCAAATCATATACACTCAGCGAATGGGACAAAATGGCGCAAAATGAACAAGGAGTACTGAGACATTCAACGACCTCTCATCTACATTGTAGCTCCCTGGTGTCCTCCCACCAATGCTTTGTATCTTTGCACAAATAATCTCCGTCGTTCATAGGTCATCGTTTCTCCTATCGCAAAAGCGATTACACCATTGGAAAGCTTGGAGCTTCCTCTTCGATCTACAAATTTCGATATTTGCAACAGGACTAGAACAATGGAGTTGGGCTGTGTTTCCATGAGGTGTTTCAACCCGGGTTGAGTTCGACCCGGGTCAAATGTCTTCATGTAAACGCTCCCCTATTTTGTCTATCGTGCAGACTTTCAACCCGGGCTGAACTCGACTCGGGTTGAAATTTCTCATGTAAACACAGCCTTACGGCAGTTTTACAGTACGCAAAACATATCAGACTTTAATGACTGATGCACCGCAAAGGGTTAATCAAATAGCATTTTGTAATTGTACGAAGAGGCTTATCTAGTAACAGCACTTGTAAAACGATAAAGGTGGTAGAATCAGTAATCTGCACATATGTAGGATACAGTGGAACTTTTTTTCAGATCTCCAATACATTAAAGGGGAAGTTAAGGCAAAAATCAAAATTTCACCAGTTGTGGTCTTCGGGGTGCTGAGTCGAATGGTCGTAGTCCGAGGAAGCTGAGACGCTCCCTTCCTATTTTGATCCCAATTGAACTCGCGCACCTCCACCGAAACTGGGTGACGGCTAGGCTCTGGCGGATTATGCCCACGAAATCATGGAATTATGCTTTCATGGATTCTCGCATTATGCTCGCAAAATCCTCATGTTATGCTTTGGCAAGCGAGGATACTTATACACTTTGTTGTACTTATGGAGCCCCAAAGTTCGGAAAATTGTGCCTTTTTCGTACTTGCAAGTGGTCATAAGTACAAAAAAATTCATGAGTATCCCATACCAAGGTGTCCATGCATGCTAGATAGCAACTTGGAAAAGGGGAAACATTACTTCTTCCATTCATTAGTTGACTTCTTTTGCTTTGAAAGATTTTTCCATTGCCAAATTAGTTTGAGTTACCTTTGAAAACTGTCATGTTCAACTGTCTTCGTAATTGCCATACTTGTCCAACCGATGTCACCCTAACCCTGCGGATTATCGTAATCAGCTCATCTCTCCAGTAGCTCCAGCTCTCCTTCCATCGTGACCGAACATCAACTATACCTCAATTTGTTTCATTATTAGAGCAATATCCATAGCATCAAGAGTACATAACCCCTGGGGGTTATGTACTCTTGATGGCATGCACAGTCATAGCTGCAAATATCCAGACGTCATGACTTCGTCACAAGCATAGTGTACATGTACGCGGAGTTTTGCGGACTACCCGTCACTATCTCGTCCGCCCGGGGGATACCTGATAAAGGCTGATTCACTCGCATCTTCTGCAAGTATATGTGCTGTATCAGGTTGAGAAAGAACTTTGAAGAAGAGCACAACAAATGTATTGGCATGATTTCTACCCTGCTTTTCATTGAAAATACTATCTGCATGACCTCCGAACCCTTTACCATGCAGACCACCAGCACTGATCAAGTGTAGCCATTGGCGGACTATGCTCGGCCAATCGTCAAATTATGCTTTTGATTATGCCACAATTATGCCAACAAATATGCTGAATTATGCTGAATTATGCTCGGTTCCACTATGTATTCACGCTGTACATAGAGGTTTGAGAAACCATGCATACACACACGCGGCCCCAGGGCTTTCGAACAATGCTGTCTTATGCCCTAAGCATAATTTTTGTCTAAACCGAAAGATTATGCCGACCTTACACGTTGGAATCCGTATAATATGCCGGAGCATAATATTTTGACGAAATCCCAAGATTATGCCGAATATTATGCCGGCATAATTCGCCAAGGGCTAATCATGTGCATTGTACACAATTGTGTCGCCTACATACATGTACTAGAACTGTGATACAATCATGCAGTTATGCTCCTACCTCCGAAAGGATACCAAATTATGCTCCAAATTTTCAACCACCTAAATGCCAATAATTATGCCGGCATAATCCGCCGGTGCCTAGTGTTGGTGCCCTACTAGATGGGGATTTGTATGCAAAATGTCACTAAAAGCGCCATTTCATTCTTATAAAAGCAACGATGACCGTGATTGGCCCATATGTTGTAGTCTTTTGGACGCTGAGTCGACTGGTTTTGGTCTGAAAAGGCTGCGACGCAGCGCTCCTCCTTTATTCCCAATTGAACATGGTTGAACAAGCGGTCACGTGCTCCTGGGGGCCCAAATCACCTGGTCACCGTGCCAGCAGGCGACAACTTTCACACCAAGGTTCAATTAGAGTTCAACTCGAGTGACTGGACTGCACCCAAAAAAGGTCAAACACGCCAGTAAGTTGTACCCTGCGGGCACGGTGACCAGGTGACTGGTGTACGCAGGAGCACGTGACCGCTTGTTCAACCATGTTCGATTGGGAATAAGGGCCGGACGCTGCATCGCAGCCTTTTTGGACCAAAACCACTACAACATATGGGCCAATCGCGGTTAGCCATTGGCGGACTATGCTCGGCCAATCGTCAAATTATGCTTTTGATTATGCCACTATTATGCCAACAAATATGCTGAATTATGCTCGGTTCCACTATGTATTCACGCTGTGCATAGAGGATTGAGAAACCACGCATACACACACGGCCATGCCCTAAGCATAATTTTTGTCTAAACTGAAAGATTATGCCGACCTTACACGTTGGAATTCGTATATAATGCCGGAGCATAATTTTTTGACGAAATCCCAAGATTATGCCAAATATTATGCCGGCACAATCCGCCAAGGGCTAATCGCGGTCATCCGTGCTTTTATAAGAACGAACTGGCGCTTTTAGTGACATTTTGCATACAAATCCCCATCTAGTAGGGCGCAGTCACCCAGTTTCGGTGGAAGTGCACGAGTTCGATTGGGATTAAAGTAGGAAGGGAGTAGGCACCGGCGGATTATGCCGGCATAATTATTGGCATAATTTGGAGCATAAATTGGCATCCTTTCACAGGTAGGAGCATAACTGCATGATTATATCACAGTTCTAGTACATGTATGTAGGCTACTGTAACAGTATAGACTTGATTGATTGGAGAATTCCCCGAATGATGTTCAAACCAGAGGTTATAAAGCAAAAGAAAGGCGAGAACCGCAGGAGTGAGAATAGTAGGAACACAAGGTGTTACCATAAGACAAGCAAGAAGTGTCAAGGTAAAACTATTACACTCTCCCGGCCCCATAGGAAGCCCAAGGTTCTATTAGATAACACAATCCAGTTAGGAGATGCAATTGTGGAAAGGGGAATATTAAATAATCACTCATGCACATGCATAACCACATTGAAGTGTAATCCAACTCAACTTCATCACTCTCACAAGGAGATGACGCAAAACTATATCAGTCTATAACATATTGTTAACTATCTCAGTAAGAGATGCATATGGCTCAGCCCAGTTAGATCAAGGCTGCTGTCGTTGGGAGGCTAGATAGTTCTGCAGCGGTTTAATATTCCGACCAGATTCATCACATAGGTTGCCAGCGGGCTCCCACGTAGCTTCGCTGCTGGGGTAACCCTTCCAATGTACCAGGAAGTGTTGCTCACCACTGCGGTGTCGGTGATTCAAAACAGCTTCGACAACATAGCGTGTGTGTCCATCTAGATCTGTGAAGGGCGGAGGCGGGGGTTGGTGTCTTCCAGGAATCGTGTTCTCTTCGTAGCGTTTAAGAGCAGTGACATTAAACACGGCATGGCAGCGAAGTTCACGGGGTAGTTCCAAGCGAAAAGCATTCGCTCCAATCTTAGCCTGGATATGATACGGACCAAACCACTTGGGTTGCAACTTCCGAGAGAGCTGGCCACGAGCTTGCGGGGTCAGTAGAAAGTCTCTGTAGACAAGAACGCTATCACCAACCTTCAAATCACTGGGCGTTCTCGTCTGGTCTGCGTATAGAGCTTGCCTTGCCTGGGCGTCGAGCATTGCATCTCGAGCTATCCTTAGTGTGGCTTCCTGCTCATGAAGCCAATCGACCGAATCACTCCTTTCCCCTCCCGTAAGAATGAATTCTGACGGGGACTTAGGGTCAAACCCATAGTTCAGATAGAACGGTGTATTAGCTACAGATGACTGTTGTGAACTATTTATTGCAAACTCGCAGAGTGGTAGAAGCGAATCCCAATTGTCCTGTCTAAAGTTCACAAATGCTCTTAGAACATCTCCCACTTGCCGGTTAACTCTCTCTCTGTCAAACCATCCGTTTGAGGGTGGTTAGCAGTGCTGAATGCCAATTTTGTTCCTAGCTGAGAGAATACTTCTTTGAAAAAAGCTGCAGTGAATCGTGGATCGCGATCGGAAACAATGGTCGAGCTCAGCCCGTGCAGACGAAACACGTTTTGAATGTACAGTTGAGCGCTGCCCTTAGCATCAATCTTCGAGTTTGTTGGAACAAGATGTACGCATTTCGTAAGTCGGTCCACAAAGGTGTAAATTGCGTCGAAGCCACGAGAAGTAAGGGGCAATCCAACAATAAAATCCATTGAGATATCCTGCCAAGGACTATTAGGTATTGGAAGTGACTGGAGAAGCCCTGTTCGTGGCTGACCTCCCTTCGTTCGCTGGCAGAGATCACAGGTTTTGACAAATCTCTTGATATCGAGACCCATTCGGGGCCAGTAGAAAAAACGTGCTAGGCGGAAGTACATTCGATCACGACCCGGGTGGCCAGCCGTTGCACACTCATGGTGTTCTTGAATAAGCTTTAACCGGACACCGCACTGTGGTATGCACAACCGGTTATTGGGGGATGCCTTGAGGTACAAGCGATCAGTGGATTCGTCCCAATAATAGCGATCATGCAAATTATCTCGGA